CTATAAATCGGTTGCTACATCTCAATCGGTTTATAATACACCGATCGGTGGTGGTCGTGGTGGTGATGATGGTGTTTTAACACCGACTAGCGCTAATCCTAAAACACGAGCAACAACATTTAAACGATTTTTTTGGGAAAATCTTAAATTTTGATAATTTTTTTTCTTTGATTTTTTTTTCACTTTCCGATTCTTTTCTTTGATTTTTTTTCAATTTTTCTTTCATTTATTCTTCAATTTTCTATAATCGATCTCAATAATTCAAATAAAATCAACAACAAAAAAAAAATTGAGGGAAAAAAATATTTCTCTATAGATTCGAAGATTTCAAGTTTACAAACAAACAAACAAATCAAGCAATAACAACAACAACAACAACAAAAGGCCAACCAAATCGAATGCAATCGCGTTATCTTTGGTTTTTTGTTTCATTTATTTATTTTCATCAAACGAAAAAACAAAAAATACATTTTCCTTCATCATCTTCGTTGGTCGATGATGATGATGACTAAACTCAGCTGATTTTTTTTTATTGTTTTGTTTTTAGAATTTTTCATTTTTTTAAAAAATTTCAAAAAAAAATTCAAATCTGTAATCAGAATTGAATTTTGTTAATGATTTTTTTTCCCAAATCAAATCAAATCAAATCAATATTGATTGATTTGTTTCGGGGCCATATCCTTGACGATGATGAGGTTCTTCTATTGCTTATTTATTTATTTAGATTATAAGAAAAAAAACTTTTTCCTTAATCATCATCATCATCATCGTTGTTGTTGTTGTTGTTTAAAATTGGATGATGTTTTGGGTGTTAATGAAATATGAAAAAACCAAACAGAACATACTGTGTGTGTGTATGTGTGTTGTGTTGTGAATGATAATGATGATAATCAAAATATCAAAATTAAAAAAAAACCTGATTATAATCAAATCAATTACAATTACAATGATGATGAATGATGAATGAATGATTTTTTATTTGACGCAAATGATCATTCAATTTGGCAATGCCACAAATCATATTACCAACAAAACAAAACAAAATTGATATCAATGTCCCTCTAACAAACACACACTCTTTTTAACTCTAAAATTTTTAACCAGAATAATCAAACGACATTTTTTTTCTTTGTTTATTAATGATGATGATTGATTAACGAATAAAGAAACAACAAAACAAAAAACGAATTGCAAAAAAAAAAGAAACTTTTTATTTGAAAAAAAACTGCATCAATTTTAAACGAATTACAGTGTGTGTGCGGTGGTAATATGATGGCTATTGATCTGATGACATCCATACAAATGTCTGTATTAAATTCAATCAATAATAATAATAATAATAATAATAATGAAAATCAATCATCGATTGATCGATCATCATCGATTCATAATAATAATAATAATAATAATTTAACAGCTACAAATGATCTGATTGAATTAATTAAATCAACAACAACATCATTGATTGAGAATAATAATAATAATACAAATCATCATCAATCGAATAACCGAATTAACGGTAATTCGACATTAGAATCAAATCATCATAGTCATAATAATAATCATTTTTCTCTACAATTCATATCGAATGATTTTCATAAATTACGACGATTATTAAATTATTCATTCAAATATAATAATAACAATAAGAATAAGAATAAGAAGAATAATAAAACCAAATTAGATTCAATACAAGAATATTCTGTAGAAAATTCTATATCATCATCAAATAATGGTGGTGGTATTGGTGATGAAACAATAAAAAATGTTGATGATATCAATAATGTTCCATTGAATATTTTGAATGATAAAAAAGATTTTGACTGTGATAATAGTGTCAATGATAATCATGATAATCAGCAACAACAGGANTTATCACCACAAACACCATCACCACGATCATCATCGTCTTCATCATCATCATCATCGGCTGTGACAGTTGAAACGATTCCATTACCATATCATTATCATCATACAAAACAAAATCCTGATGATGATACGGAAATTCTTGAAACGGTAAAAGATTTTTTTTTATAAAGAAGATCGAAAAGTTAATTTTTTTCTTCTGGTAAATTTTATTTTCTTACAGCTTCGTCAAATATTACGAATGTGTACGAAAATGGATCAATCAAAACGTATAACAGCAATGGATGTTTATGAAATATTATCCAGGAAATCCAATTTAATTTATAAAAATCCACATTCTTTAGATAATGATAATAATAACATTATAATCGATGGTTGTGAATCTAAATTATGATGATTGAACAAAAGAAAATGGTTAGTTTTTATTTTAAATTTCTTTGAAATCTGGGTTAACTCTTTACATTCACCTCACTACAGATGATACCAGAACCGTGATTTGGAATTTAATTGGAATTTTTTTTCATCTTCGACAAAAAAAAAATTAGTTCCTTAATTAAACAAATGATGGCCAGGTGTGAATGAATGATTTGACATCATTTGGTTTTTGATTTTTGTTTATTTGGGGTTAAATCATCCAGAAAAATCTGCTCATCTTCAAAATATTCTTCTTCTTTTTCTTCTTCCTGGTTTCTTTTGATCTAGTCAACCATCCAAAAAAACAAAAACATCTGGAATTTTTATCGTCGTCGTCGTCATCGTTGTTTTCACGAATTAATCACGTCATTGCATGTCATATTTGATAATAATAATTTAAATTAAAACAAAAAATAAAAATTAAAACAAAAATCATGACCAATTTCCATTGTATAACAAACCTCAAAAACAACAAAAAAAAATCGATTTTTTTCGCAAACAAATGTTGTTTTTGGGCAGTGGTGGTGTTGAACTTGACGATGTGTGGATGATGACAACATTTTTTTACATAATAAATGTCGGTCGATGTTTTTTTTTGTTGTTGTTGGTTGATGATGATCATCATGTTGATCATCATGTAATAGAAGGCAATCGAAATGAGGCACACACACACACACATAATAGCAGACAGACAAAAAATTGTCTTAACCATCATCATCATCAGAACAAATGGATTGAACGGATATTTCATCAATTTTGGTCATTAGCAGAAAACAAAAAAAAAAAACAGATTTTTTTTCTCTGTTTTGCATTTGGTCTTGTCTGGTTTTGTTCATTTGGTTCGATGTTTAATCACCAAAAAGAATATCAGTTGCTCTTGGTTTTTTATATAAAAACATCAACAAAATTCAAAATGTTTTGACCATTTCAAGATTTTTTTTTATCTTGGTTGACCAACGATCGGTGTTTGATTGTTTTCGANTTTTATATAAAAACATCAACAAAATTCAAAATGTTTTGACCATTTCAAGATTTTTTTTTTTTATATCTTGGTTGACCATCGGTGTTTGTTTGTTTATTTTCGAATATTTTTGTCCACTATTTCTACTTCCGATTACCGGATTATTGTCATCATCATATTATTGCCTATTTACACTGAATTGGGTAAGTTGTTTTTTTTTTATTTTGAACAAAAAAAAAACATTCGAATTCGAAATTTTTTTTAATTATTCAAAAAAAAAAATCATTAATTTTGTTTTTGTTGTTGTTGTTTCAAGGACTAATTATGATGATTATTTTTTCTAATCGACAAAAAAAAGGTGTGATCTTTTTCTATATACAGAAAGATAAAAAAAAACCATTAAATAAAATTATCATCCATGTCATCCAAACTACAAATTGATTGAACAAAATTAATTAATTTAGTTTCAATGTTAATAAACTATTTCAATGAAAGAAGAAGAAGATGATGAAAATTTCTATATAAAAATTGAAATTCTGATTGATTTTTTTTTTCGTTGTTAATGATGAAAATATCATATGAATTGAATGTTGATGATTATAATGATGATGATGCAGAAATTCATTCAAGTTGATCATTTAATTCACACACACACACACACACACAACGACAAATTAACATATTAATGGTCCATATTTCTTTTTGTTGTTGTTGTTGTTGTTTGCCTGGTCAGTAACACCATCACCATTACCATAACCATTATTACCACCACCGAATGATCATTATCATTATCAATATTATAATGGTAAAATATAAATCATTTCTTCTTCATCTTCATTATCATAGTTTCTTCGTTCGTTTTTTTATATTTATAGATTATCAGGCGTCTAGACGATCGATTCGTTGTTGTTGTTTTCTTTCGATTCGTTTGTTTCCCTCTTTTTTTTTCTTCTTCAACATTATTTTCATTTAAAGCTGTCTTTCGTTTTTTTTTCTTCATTGGTGTATGATTCGTTTAATGTTTTTTTCTTCTTCTTCTTCAATTCAATGACTTAATATTTAATGATGATGACACGAAATAATAATTTAACCAAACTAACCATGTAGATCTTTGTTTTGTTGCAACAAACAAAACAGAAAATATGATTCTTTTCAATATTATCATGATGATAATTTAACCACAAATAATATCCATTTTATTTATTATTACCATGATGATATTAATCCATAATCGATTTTTATTTCGAAAAGAATCAAAAAAACCTATTTAGAAGAAAAAAAAAGTTCATCTCAAGTACATCGTCGTCTGGTGAATTTTACTTACGTTTTTTGGTTTGGCTGCAATTTAATATCCGCCAATATTTGACATAGACACATACACAGAGTGTGTGTGTGTGTGTGGAATGGATCCAAATTATCAGCGGTGAAGAAGAAAAAAAAAGGTGTGCTTTTCTTCACTCGATTAATTTGTTTCGTTTGTTTGTTTGTGTCAAACATCATCATCATCATCAGTCGGCAACAAGTGATGCTAAGTTGATTTAAAGGCATCAAACAAACTAAGACGAACGACAATGATATGATTTGCAAGTCGTCTGGATGGCTTGGCGAGACGAAGATCATGATGATGATGATGATGATGATGATGATAATGGTAACGATGATCCCGAAAAGAAAGCAAGAAAAAAGAAAAATTTCTATCCAGACGAAAGAAAATTTGTTGATAATTATTCAGAATAAGAATTTTTCTCAAACTAACAAATTAACTCACTCACTTACCAGACTTAAATGAAATGATGAAAAATACAAACAGGGGAAAAAACAGGAAAATCAGTGAGAAATCTTTAACTGAATTTTTGTTGTTGTTGTTGTGGTGGTGGTGGTGGTGAATGAATGGTTATCCAATCTTAATATCAATCTTAACAAAATGACAAATTATCGTCCATACAAAGAATTTCGATAAATTTAATTACTTTGGTGGTCCTTTGATGATGCAAAATTCTTACCCAAAATGGAAAAATTCTTTCATTTTTTTTTTACTTGTTTTGGTCAACGATTTAATGATTTATCCGTGCACCATTTGTGTGTGTTTGATGAACTTGTTTTACGTTTTTCGAAAAAAAAATCCATCTTCTACAAGATATAAATCTTTTTTTTTTTTGTAAAATTTTTCTCTTCATCTTTGCTTGTTGATCACTCCATGTGTATCTTTATCATTATCATCATTCTACATTCGGTAGGCGCTAAACTTTTTTGTTTTTGTTTTGTTTCTTTTCTTTCCATTCGATGATCAAAAGTAAGGATATTTTGTGGAAAAATTAATGGGGAAAAAAACGGGTGGTTAAAAACGATATAAATTTCATACACCATTACATTACTGATAATGTTTTTTTTCATTCTTTCTTTTCTTCCAACAACATTCTTCTTTAAATAAATGTTTCTTGTTGGCTGACGATGATCTTATAATGTTGTTGGTTGGTTGTCTG